CTTTATAGCCGGGCCACATTCCTAGAACGTCGTCTTATACGCCGGAAACTACCAGTATTTCCGGCGTATAAGACGACTCGGCGTATAAGACGACCCCCGTCTTTGGCGCCGATTTCAGCGCTCGCGGAAGTCGCCTTATACGCCGGCATTTACGGTATATTAGATACCTAATTTCCCAGTGAATACTGAACATTACATATGATTTTCTACTCCTTCACCTTATATCTAATTTTATCTTAAACTAACCCTAAAAACTAAAGTGAGGTTTCAAATGGACATGCATTCAATAAAATTGCTTTGTTGAACAAGTAATTTCTAGACAGCTTAACTTCATAAAAGGAATTTTTTTCAAGATTTTGACCTCATGGAATATGTATCTTTCATATGAATTATTTTCTTTTGCATGCAATCCTAGAAAAATGTAAAATACCCACCTTCCAATATAAAATATTATGTAAAACAGTTATGCATAATAATGACAGGTCATCATGTTGATTACCTTTATTAGATTAAAAAAAAGTATTTTAAACTCAGCGGTCATTAGTCCCCACACAGGTGGCAGAACTGAGCCAGATGTTAGGCGTTCCCTGGATGGACTCCCCTATTACGGAACTAACTGTCTCTGAAAGGGAAGATGAGCCTCACTCTCATGTTGTCCTGTGAATTCACAATGGATAATTGAGAAAGCCAAAGAGTAACTAAAATAAGTCAGTGTGTCCTTCATTGATTATAAAAAGACTTTTTATTGTATCTATCATGTCAAACTGTGGAAGGTGCTTAGAAAATGGGAGCTCCAGAACATCTTATTCACCTCAAGTGAAATCCATGTACAGGAGATGAAGCCACAGTCTAGACAGAACTTGATGGAACAGACTGACTCTATATCCAGCAAAGGAATGAGACGAGGCTGTATACTGTCACCTTATTTACTTAATATATTTTGCAGAAGGCTGGAAGAAGAAGGGTGAGATTTTAAAATTGGAAGAAGAAACATCATTTCAATTGTTCTGTACTGAAGACACTAGGTTGGTAGTGAAAATGCAAATGATCTGAAAGTTGTAGTATATAAAGACAAGGTGCACAATGAAAAAGTGAGACTAAGATTAAATATCAAGGAGACAACAGCTACAATAAACAGCCTTAGAACGGACAGTGAATATACTGAAGTGCTAGATAACTTCTGCTTTTTAAGGATTGACTATCAAAAGCAAAGGAACTATCAGTGAAGAAATAAACTACAGACTAGCACTTGGTAGTATAGCAATGACAGCTCTGGAAAAGGTACCCAGATGCTCCTGTCATGTCTGTACCTACAAACATCAGAATTGTGTAGGCAATGGTTTTCCCTCTGATAGTCTATGAATATAAAAGTTGGACTTTGAACAAGCAGAACAAGCAGGATATTAATGCTTTTTAATTTTGGTGTTTAAGTAAACTCTTGAGAATATTATGTTTAGACAAAGAACAAATGGCTCAGGTAGAACAAAACAAGCCACCTGAATTTTTCCTGTTTGAGAAAATGGTTGATATTGTTTTTTTCATCAGGTGCAAAGACAGAATTCTTTGCATCTCACATTCTATCTAATTCTCTCATTAGATAGAAATTACTTGGCTTAAATTATAATACATTATGAACACATTATGCAGAAGTCGGCTCCTTGGAGAAGTCTATAATGATGGATAAAGTGGAAAGAGAAAGAAGAGGATGAACAGCAGCAAGGAGGATGGATTCAGTTTGATTTTTGATTTCACTATTGCAAAAGCTAAAGTGTCAAGTTGAGGACAAATTATCCTGACAATCTGTCCATGACAATCATGTCAAGATCATTCAGAAAGGACAGATTTTCAGGATACTTTGGTTTGTCTCCCCAAAATATTCTTCTGTCTTTGCATCCGATCAAAAAAGCAATATCAATCATTTTCTCAAACAGGCTAAATTCAGAGTCCAATAAGAGTCTCAGTTTTCACATTTTTTTCAAGTGGCACTTGGGGCTGCGAGGACAATAAGGTATCTTATTCTTACCCCTCATTATTGTCCCGCAAGCAGAGAGAATTTTGTTAAGTGCTAATCTGAATTCACCCTATAGCTCTAATATAGTCATACATTGAAATATCTTAAGCTCTTATAGCATGTGACTGATTTTGTTTATTTTGGCAGAGGATAATATATGCTGTCCCTGAAGATGCGTTCTATGGAAATGTTATCTACAGGAATTTGCAGCTTTGGGTTGAAGCTTTGGGGATGGACTGAAGCTTTGTGATAAGACGTATCTAGTGTGCAAATTGAATTATGTTAAACATTCATCATACCTGGGCGTCTGGTGGGTATTAGTCTGTAGCCTAGGGTCAGATAGCCATCAGCCTAGACAGGGCATTGCTAATGCTAAGCTAAGAATATTCTTATTCACACAAGCCAAAGGACAACACTTTATGTTTTCAGACATATCAGCCCCGTGCCCTAGAGCTGCTGCCAGTCTCCCATACCCTTACTCAATGTCTTTCCATTCTTTCTCAAAGGAAAAAAATGAACAACATCCATTTTCTTTGAAGTTTGCAATATGCAGGTATGTAGCCTGCAGACTGAAGTATCCTTAATATAACGTTAATATGCATAGCTGAAGGATAATTCCAGAAAGGACATTTTTTTCCACAAAGGTAATAAAATAAAATATTTGTGACTTTTTCTGATGAACAAAAGAAAACAAAAATGCACCGTTATAACAATGGCACTTCACAGTTTATAGTAGGATTTTTGAAATACTAAACCTAATTATTGAAAATGCAAATGATATCTACCTTTCCCACTAAAAAAAGAATCTAGCATTGTGTTTCAGCTCTGTCCATTCTGTATTTTCCAAGTAGTTTTGTTGAGGAAGGCGTTGTAACCTTCCTGGTGAGTTAATAAAGTGATCTTATGCTAGATTTAGTGTCAACGTTCTCCAAGAGCATAGATTATTGACATACTGTAGATACAGTCCTGCACAATTTTATTTTTGGGGAAAATGGGATAAGCTTCTCCTAGTGTTCATATGATTCTTATATGTATCTTAAATTGATTGTGGGGGGGGGGGAAAATGGCAATTAACTGAAGGATAGATCTAGCAAGTGGTGCTTCATCAGAGAAGAAATTAATTTCAAGGTGCACAGTACACTTTCAAAGCTTTGATTTCTTTGAAATATTAAAACTGATCCTTATTTTGATAACATCCTGATTCATGCACGCAGCAATGCATGTTGATACTATTATCCAAGACATATTCAACAACTTTTATTTCTCAAAATAAGATTGTGACTCATTTCTGTTTGCTTGTTGATCTTATTTGCTGGATTCAATAAAAATAAATAATTTTACACAGATAAATATGCAGGAACTTGTATCTTGCAGCCTCCATGTGCCTGAGCCATACATAAAGATACGTGGTGGAGTGTTAGGGCTCTTGGACTCATTTTTAAAAGCATACTCCATGAATACAGTGGAAGAAAACTTTTGAAGTCCATTTCTTAAAAATGGTCTATGTCAGAGGTCCCCAACATTTTGGGCACCAGGGACCGATTCCTTGGAGAGAGGTTTTTCCGTGGACCGGAGAGTGCGTGGTTTTGTGTGCTGCCTGCATCCCACTGATGGAGCTTTGCTTGTTTGTGCGGACCGGTTGCTGGCATGCCACGGACCAGTACTGCTCCACGGACCGGAGGTTAGGGACCCCTGGTCTAGGTAGTATTGCTAAATAGAAATTTATATTTTTCTGTATCTACACATATTGTATGTGGCATTTCCACTTACAACTCTCTCTAAAAAGCAACCTACCTGACATCTTTAAAGCAGCAATGTCAAAGAGTGTATTAATAGTAGTAGTAGAGTTAAATTAAATAAAATGTGCCTTAAAAAGAAACATAAAGGCTATTTTGTGAAAGCATTTTTTATAAAACAATAATGTTTCTGAGAGGGGGGGAGGGAGGGAGGGAGGGAGAAAACAGATGCTTCTCATACATGTTGACACTTAAGCAGATGCAGTACAATGATGGAAAAGTACCCTCTAGTGAAAAACAAGCTGCACTGCAAATTCAAGCTCTTCCCTCAGCCCAAATACTGTATATTTTAGATCAGGACAGTTAATCCTTATTCTTACAAAGCATTAGAGAAAAAGATGGGTGGATCAGCTGAAACGGTTATCTAGTCGTTCCCCTTTAGTTTCTCAAAGTAGCCCTTAGAAGAAACTTAAGTTAAGAGAAAGCAGAAAAGAGTTTATGACCTATCATTATTTCCTAATACTAATAATTCACAATCGTGCTGCTTCTTTTATAGCTCTGTTGTCTACTAAATTGCCTAAAGCCCTAAGCTTTTGAAGCTAATTGTTTTGTGCTAATATTATTTATTATTATAATAATTTATTTGAATGTATAACACCCCCCCCCAGCTCCAATAGATCCATTGTCTAACTTTGAGATGGAAAGTGTAGTTTTGGGTCTGTTCAGAATCCCCTGATATCATGCTCATCAGATGCCTGCAGGGGCAGCAGTCCATTAAACAAACATGGATGGGTCATTAGATAAGATCCAAATACTGATTTCATTTTTCTATCAGAAAGACATATTGATTAAGACTCAAACCTGTGATCCTTTATCTGAAGGTAAAATGGGTTAATATTAATATTTACAAGGTTTCCATTAAATATGCTCCTGTGTGATCAATTAGTATGTAACCTTGTCTTATGGAAGCATACACATGTCATTTTCATATCAGGATGAAATATGTATTTGATCATGTGGGGGGCATTCAAAATTTCAATTTTGCAAAAAATTGGAAAAAGAATAATCTGTTGTGACATTATCCCAATAAGCTTCAAACATTTTTGTTATGTGCCCATGTCTATTATGGACAAAAATGTATTTAGTTGTGGTCTGAAATTAAAACTTATTATTAAGAATGTTTATAGATAGACTTTTTGATCAAGATGTACAACTTTTTTTGAATTTGAAAATGTAAGTTTAAACAAGAGCAACACATCAGAAACTGGTTTATTGTGGGGTTCGATATCAGATAGTATATGAAAATAATAGTTTCTGTTGACAAACAACAAAAGAATACATTTTTGGCAAATTCACATATATATTCAATACACAATATGTAGTGTCTTTGGGAAATTATAAATGGTGTTTTGATTGGCTATAGAGAATTGCTCTAAATTAAATGACCCTTGCTGTTTTAATAAAGGGGGGGAAAGGAAAAAAAAGGGGGGCTATTTCTGAAAAAGCAGAATACATCAATTAATAACAGATTTTTAAAATGTCAAACTTAAAACCCCATAGCAGGAGATGTTAGCCATATCTTCTGATTCAACTTCAAGGTGTATTTTTGTTTTGTTTTTCCTGTTCGATAGCTGTAAAAACAAATAAACAAACAAGAACAAGATAAACATAATTTGTCAACATTTGATATTTGTACAGATTTTTTAAAAAAAATTACGTACACAATTAAATAAGTCTTTTTCATTGTTATTAATTTGTGCAAAACAAATGCTTTAGCAACTATGAAAGATTAACACAACCAATGTTGCAGATCAATAATTTCACTCTATTTCTTGTATCAAGTGGTTCAGCAGTGCTGGAAGAAAGATTAGTGAGGTTTGAGAAAAGAATTTTGATTAGTTGAATAGAAATAAAATATTCAGGTGTATCATAGTCAATTGACTAGTTAATTAGAGAGATAATTAACAGTTGAAACTTCTGAACTATTGCCTATATCAGTGATGGCGAACCTTTTAGAGACCGAGTGCTCAAACTGCAACCCAAAACCCATTTATGTATCGCCGGGTGCCGGGTGGGCGTGGCCCACTGGGTGGGCGTGGCCCCTGGGTGGGTGTGGCCCCTGGGTGGGCTTGGCTACGGTAGTCATGGCAGTATGGGTGGGTGTGGCCAGGCTGGCCATGGCCACCTCAATGTTGCTCCTGGGGAGGGATAATTGTGAGGGCCGGGCAGGGTTGGGGAAGATCCGAGGGGTCTCTGGCTAGTGGGGCAGTTGGCATGAGGCTCGTCTTGCAGGATGAGGCGAGGCGAGGGAGGGGGTACCATTGCCATGGGGCAAGGCAAGGCAGAGTCTGGGGCAGGGATTGGTTGCAGACAAAAAAGGGCTCTGGTGAGAAGGAGGAGGTAGAAAACAGTTTAAGCAAGCTTAGTAACTGGAATGGGGATCCCCCAAAAACAAATGTGCTTCGTGGGTAACCTCAAAGCATGACAGAAGAGACCAAAACCTGCTACAACCACCCAGCAGATGGGAGGGGAATAAAAACCAAACAGCCCCCCCCCCCCGGCCAATCCTCAACAGAAATGCTCACAACAATGAAAGCCTCAGATGGGGAAGAACGGGGGCAGGCGGGCATCTTGCTCAGCTGATGGCTTGGGGGGGAAGGGGGCAGCTACACCCCCTCTCAAATGCTGCCCTTTCACGAAAGCAGGATGAAAACTCAAGCAACAAGGAAAAAAGTTAAAACCGAAGAATGTCTCAGAACACCTGTATTAGCAGATGCAACTGATATAAAATCTGGATGAAGAATGGTCAATAAAGTATTCTTGCTTGTCTATTTTATCTTTCCTAATAAGATGTAACCAACTTCCTCTCTTCACTTTGCAAAAACTGTGGGTCCCACGCCATTCCACATACCTGCAAGAAAGCAGCTGCAATCGGAATACTCTAACTGTAACTTTGAAATGTGGCACCAGCAGGGCTTTTTTTGTTATAGAATGCCCAGACAGAGTTCCGGCACCTTTTTTGGATGGAACCTTGTAGGGTAGGCAAGGCGGGTTATATGACATGTGTAAGTTCCGGCACCTTTTTCTTTTTACAAAAAAAGCACTGGGCACTACTGATTTAACTGCTGTCATACTACAAGTACAGTTGGAGTTTACAGTATTAGTTTATCCAGCACATGTTATTTATTTTATCTTTCTTCTCCTTATACAAAACTACACCTTCTATACCCAGAATGGAGAGTTATTGTTGGTTTCTTGTCCACTGGAGTAAAATAATGCCAAAATTATTTTATCAAGTATTCTTATTCCAGTTGGAGGGGGGAGTCAGAAATGCTTTCTGCTATCTGAGGGTATGTATTTCAATACCATTTCCAAAGTCAAATTCCTCGACATATAGATTATTCCTTTACACTGGTTAAATCCAGAAAAATAGGTTAACTCAATCACCATGCTAAATAAAAATGTCAGCATTTTATCAGCAAAGTAGGGTTCATACTCTGGGGCGGGGGGGGGGGAGTTGGGATCCTCTCTCTTGCATATACAGTAGTTGGACCTGTTGAACACCCCAAAGCATCCCAACAATATTCACTTTGAGATCCCAATGAACAATTCCCAGATCGTGCAGATAATTCACAGCCTCTAGCAACCTGCCGGATGGCCTGGCTGGCATGAAATTAAACCTCCCTCTGTTCCATATGTCCCCATCTATAGGTTACTCTCTTTCAGAGTAAATGAAGTTTGGTGGGCAGGGGATAAATTAAGTCAATGCAAGAAAGGAAAGAATGCATGTACATAGCTGCCTGTCTGTCTTTATGCGTGTGTGTGCGTGTGTGTATGTGTATGTGTTTGTGTGTGCACACATATCAGTGTGTCTTGACTAGGGTTCAGTTAGTCTAGGAAGGAAGGAGGGTTGTTTGTGTGCCATGTGTGAAGTTTATTCCTTTGGTCTGAGGTGAAATCCATATAAAGTGTATAATGCATTGCACTGTGCTTCATATTCCAATAACATGGTATGTTACACGTTGTCAAAAATGTTATTGTCTTTAGAGAATGGGAAGAAGTAGGTGAAAATTACAAAAGCTACAGTAGTTTTTGATGAATGAAAAAACACACATAAATATGCAGGCATTTTCTTTTGTTGTTGTTGACAATACATGGCTTTTATAATATGTTGAAAAAATATGTGCAGTAAGGGCAGTTACCCATCAATCCTTGTAAACGGTGCTATGTGTCTTCCTGAATCTCTGATGGAACAGCAAATGTTTCCATGCAAGATAAAAATAAAGCATATGTGTGCATGCTCATACAGTCCACACACTTTGTGACAATAAGGTCTGAGCCAGCATAAATGGTTGACAACCTGTTGCTATTTATGTACAAATACAGATATAAAAAAGGAACTGATGAGGAATGAAATAAGATGAAAAGAACAGAGGTGCAGAAAGGAAATGTGGTGACAGATGAAAAGAAGGGAGGGAGGAGAGTTGGGGAAAAAGGGATACATTTAAGATAATGGAACATTCACAAAAGAGGGAACGTTATGGAGATAATTTTGCGAATGCTATGGAGATACAGCATGTTACAAGAATGGAAAAAGGCTATGTTGGATAGAAAGAGTTTTAAAAAAAGGATATACATACTTAGTTGAGTAAACCAGACTGATGGAACAGAGAGAAAGCTTACTGGGGCCTCCGCTTTAGAACTGCAACATGTAAGGCTTCCAGTAACACAGCTTAAAATGAAGTATTTCAAATTCGCACGACCCACCCACCCCATTTTCAGCAAATGGTACGTTCACCTGTTTGGAAACCCAGTGCAACCAAGATGAGCGCTTTCCACACTGATAGGCAAAAAAAAAAAAAAAAAGATCCAACAGGACTCCACGGCCATGGATCTGGGCTCCGGAGGCCTGGAAAAGGCCTCTGGAGCCCAGATCGGTCATGGATCGGGCTGCTGGAGGTCCGCAAAATTGCTCTGGAGGCATATCTGGACTCGCCCTGGCAGGTTCTATTAAAAAAAAGGTGCCTGCGTTCTATGTCAAAAAAAGCCCTGCCTCCATCATCCAGCCCAGATCCGCCCAGCTCTTGCAGCTGCTCCCTGACTCCAGTGCAGAGAGAAAGAGAGCGAGAGCGCTGGCGCACATGTAGAGGCGGAGGGGGGCAGCCCGGCGCTGCGTCTCTCTGGGGTGATGGCGCGCATGCCCACAAGGATGGTTCTGCACGCCTATATGATCTTTAACATCAGGAAGAAATTTTGCATTGGGGGAAATGACATAATACCATGTTTCCCTGAAAATAAGACTGGATCTCATTTTTTTCCCTCCAGAAGAGGCACCAGGTCTTATTTTCAGGGGGCAGGGTGTCTTTTATACTCACCTCCAGCATTGACAGCCCCCCCCCCAGCCTGTCCACTTCTTCTGTGGCCAAAGGAGCAGCTTCATTTTGCAGCTGCATTCTGGCCTGCATTTCACAGTCAGGCCTTTCCGGAAGACCTATGCAACTGAGTACTGAGCTACGGATTGAATCCATAGCTCTGTTCTCGGCTGCAGAGGTCTTGCAGAACAGAACTATGGATTGAATCCATAGCTCGGTTCTCGGTTGCAGTGGCCTCCCAGAAAGGTCTGTGACTGAGAAATGCAGGCCTGGCTGCAGAAGACACCACAGAAGAAGTGGACTGGTGAGGAGAGGCCTGGCTGCAAGGTAAGTGGGTGAGGGGTGTGTGGAGTAGCTCCACACCCCCACCCCTACCCTAGCTTAATTTTTAGGTGTGTGCCTCACCCCAAAACTAGTGCTTATTTTTGGGGTAGGGCTTACATTAGGTTTACCCCCAAAAAATCAAGGCAGGCCTTTCTTTTGGGTAGAGCCATGTCATACACGCAGAGGGCCACAATTTGATTCGATTCCCCCCCACACACACATTTCAGCACAGGAAAGGATGAGAATTGCATGATTCCGGGGACATGTACATTCGTCTTCATTTTTAAGAATGGGAGTGTTTTGTTTTTCAATAACTACTTTATGATATTTTATTCCAATCTACTCCAATCTCTATTTATCACCTCAAAATAGTGGGAAACCGGATTTCTGTCTTGGCAATTAGAGTCAGGCGAGATTTTCTGGGCTCTTGGCAGTCCAGGGCAGGACCTCGGGCTGCCCAACACAATGTCCTGCAAACAGGCCTTTTCCTAAATTAAGAGTTACAGAATCCCATAGCTTACTACTGTATGTGTCTGGCAAAATAATTTTAAGGCCTACCTTTCCCAATCTTACACTGAAGAGATACTGCAGTATGGGTAGTCCTTGCCTTACAACCATTTGTTTAGTGACAGTTTGAAGTTGAACAGCATTGAGAAAATTGACTTATGACAGTTTTTCACACTTACGACCGTTGCAGCATTGTCCTGGTTGTGCGATCAAAATTTGTATGCTTGGCAGCCAGTTCATATTTATGATGGATATAATGTCCTGGGGTCACGTGATCAACTTTTGCAACTTTCTACAAGCAAAGTCAATGGGGAAGCCAGATTTACTTAACAACCTGTTACTAACTTAACAACTGCAGTGATTCACTTAACAATTGTTGCAAGAAATGTAAAATGGGGCAAAACTCACTTATCAAATCTCTTGCTTACAATATAAATTTTGAGCTGCATTGTGGTCATAAGTCAAGGGCTACCTGTTACCCATTACAGACTCCTAAATGAGCAGCTTGAATTTAGAAAGGGGGAAAAGTTGACTTCGAATTCAACTGTGGGGTTTTACACTAAAAAGATTCTTGCAGCTTTCTTGCATGGTGCAGAACTGGATGGTTATTGCCTTCTCACAGTCTCAACTGGCTAGCTGGTCCCCCTTTAAGTACTAATCAATTCTAAAACTACTTAGCTTTCTAGATCAACCAAGATTGGTTAGGTGCTGCCATCTGTTGAGACTCAGGGGAATGAAAATAATTTAACTCCACGCTCTGCTTTGTTAGAATAAATGGAAGGATAGATGTCACTTTTAGCTTTTTGGAAATATGAGAGGATAAACATTATCATCAACAGCAATACTGTCCTAGTGTTTTTCTACGAGTGCAAGATATTCTTAACACTAAAAATAAAAGACAACGTTTCATCAACTGCATATCTTAACTGGTCCATCTTTATTGCCCTTTATCTTCTCCTCTATGGGCACAAAGTCAACTGATGCTTGGTATGAAATCTAATTGCTCTCTCATATTGCTTACTGGCCCAACAATTGGATATTTTAATAAGACTGGAAAGTACCAGAATCCTTTCTCTTGTATCAAACATCTGCTGTGCTTGACAAGACATTTTTTTTAATATTGAATCTTTCTATTAACAAATGACCAATTATAGTCCCAGAGATCAGATTGCTAACTCTGTAAATTGTTATTTTTCTGATGCAGTTAGTGGACAGACTCAGTGTTTCAAAAATTTCAGGAGTTCAGTTCAACATCACATGAAAGGACTTAAGGCTCATGAAACAAAATTGCTTCTTTCTCTCCCTGTCTATTTAACCTCCTCCACCCCAAACTGCTCTGAGCGTCCCACAAGTCTCTAGATTAAATATAGAGTTTGGGGCAGTGATAGGATTCAAATATGTGAACAACTGGTTCTCTGTTGGATGCTGCTTCCGGAAGTCCATTCTGGACTTAGGCAACAAAAAATTAGCTACCGGTTCTGCTGAAGCGGTGCCAACTGGCTGAATCCAACCACTGGTTTGGGGGCGGAAGGTTTTATATGAGAGGAGAGGGAATCCCTTCCACCAGAGGTATCTTTTCTGTTAACGTACATAGAATGCAGTCTCGAGAATGCATAAACAAAGGGGGATTGATGTCTAGCTATGCCCCTGAAAGGAGGTATAACAGAAGACAGCAAAAGAATCCCATGATTCTTAGTCAATGCACAGGATTAAGTGCTCCCAAAAGAGGCAGAGAAGGCGCTAATTCACTGGTGGCGAACCTATGGCACGGGTGCCAGAGGCAGCAATCAGAGCCCTCTCTGTGGGCACGCGCACCGTCGCCCCAGTCCTAGGCCTTCAGCTGGGTTTTATAAAACTTTTTCGCATGTACAAAAAAAAAAAAGGTTCAATCAATCAGTCAATTTCAACTTCTTGCTGAAAAAAAAAAGATCTTGCAAAGTTGGGACTGATTGAACTTTTTAGTCCCACCCAGTCTGCCATTATCACTGCAGCCACACCCAGCCAATGGGCCATACCCACCCGGCACCCGACGATGCATAAGTGGGTTTTGGGTTGCAGTTTGGGCACTCGGTCTCTAAAAGGTTTGCCATCACTGTGCTAATTTATACCAGCAACTCTCCTCTGTAAAATCATGGCAGGTAAAATACTAATAAAGTAAAGCAACATATTTATTGTATTTGCTTTCTATTTGTTTCTTTCTGTTTTTGGTATTTTATCCCAAATCTTGTTCATTTTTAAAACATGAGATTTACTCAGCACTAAAGCTCCTTGAAGCCAGACAGAGGTTGTGAGATGATATCTAATGTCTTCTCTTTCCTCACGCTGGGCAAGAAAAAGGGTGTGTTGCAAACAGGTGAGGACTCAGAAGGAGAGGCATAGACAAGACTTTTACAATCCAATGGTTTTGTTTCATAGGATCATAGAAATACGTTTCTCCTGCATCTTGCAAAGTTCTGGTGAAGGGGCAAGGAGGTATTCTGGTGATTGCAAACAGCTTTCTCAGCTATCCTGATTGCAGAGATCGTTTTACATTTTACGCATGCAAAGGAGCCAATTAGTCTTCACTTAATGACCACAGAGGCCACAGTCATTAACTGAGACATCACATGCCTGCAAGTTGCGATTTTATTGCAGCTTCTCTATTGGTTTGTTTGTTGGAAGCTGGCTGTGAAACTTGCAAATGATAATCTTGTGACCACAGTTTGAAGGCTAGTCATAAAGTTACTTTTCAGTTGTAACTTTACAGTCGCTAAACAGTGCAGTTGTTGAGGAATACCTTTATCTGAGTGTCTGAATCTGTCTTTGAAATAATCTGAGGAACTATCCTTTTGTTTATTCCCTCCTTTGCGAAATATAGCTGCATGCTGTATCATTTATTGAGATGTAGGTCAGAGATATTAACTGACCAATTTATATCATACCCAATATAAGAAAATCTTCCATTTACAGGAAAAGCATTTAGACTAGCAGTGATCAGAGCAAGTCAGAAGGTCTGTGATATAATTTTTTGCCACAAATTAACATTCAGGAAACAGTTCAGATTAAGGATAGCAAAATGGATGCATTGAGTAATTTTTTTTCTATTTACCATATTAAATTATTATTATTTTTGCATGAAAAATAATAAGCCTTGCAGCAGAGAAGGCTGATTGCGGCTGTAGGTGAAAGCCTCATCAAGCAACGTTATATGTGGATTTAACTACCAACCAGCAGAGGGCAGCACTAAGTAATTTTTCAATTGATGGCATACTATTGTCTGCAATAGTTAATAATGCTGTGCATTTATCGGTTTTTTAAAAACATTGTTGTGTCTCCTTAAACTTTAAAATTCATTATAACCACAGCTTTTGTAGGTTACTGTAGCATAACTGTTTTTACCACAAGGCATCTGTCAGTCTTTAAATAGATACAAAATCCTTTGTGCGCGCATGTTGCTGAAACGGTTTCACAGCTCCCTTTGGGTATTTGTCACATGAGATTTTAGATATGAAATTCCAGCCACAATGCCTTAAGAAAATCAGATGAAATAAACAGTTCAAAGCGTACATTAAATTATTGTCTTGCTTGGCACTGAGTGGTTCAATTAGCTTGAAAGTCATACTGTGTCCTGAAAGAAGCCAACATACATACCTTCATATGTGACTATATGAAATCATTTTTTGAAAGTGCTATGAAAGCAGATACACTGTATGTAGGTATTTGAGGAATAAATTCATTCATTTCATTCATTTCAACAGGATCTGCCTGATCATACATCTGTATGAACAGTTTCCAAGGAAATGAGGTCAAGTAGGTCTTTGGCAATTTATCTATCATACACACTGATTAATTAATTATACAAAGAAATCACTTACTTTCCTTAGTAGGTAATGGATTTTTTTCTCTAGTTTCAGTTTTTTTCAGTTTGGTTTTATCAAACGTTTCAATTTCTGCAAAATCTGGTTTGTCAGACATGATGAACCCTGACAAAGAAGGAGGAAACACACCCATGGCTTTGTTAACCGGTGCTACATTGCATGCCACAAACATATATATGTATGTGTGTGTGTGTGTGTGTACACACACACGCACACACTTCTGGATGATACTTTATGTGAAATTCAATAATATATACAGTAAATGTACTATTTCTGAAGACAAAAGAGTTTAAAAAAAGTATTTAAACATGAAAACAACAACAAAGGGAAATAAAGGATTTAAATATGTTTTTGAATAAAATATTCCTTGTGAAATTAACAAATGCTCTTAAAACATTTTAATGAAAAGCTGACTCTGGTTGCACAGAAACTGACTTTCTAGCATGCTTCATTTTGAAAAAAATATATCCTCTAACACTTGGTGATCATTTCCCAGACCCCTTCAAGGACATTGTTTAACAGACAATTGAGTTTCCTTTAGCAGAACAAAGCCACACAAATAAATGTCCAGAAGAGCTACAGTGCACCACTGCTCTTAACAATAGAATGAAAGATCTTAAGATTGCTTTGTTCTTTTGTATTTTTGTTTCCATTCATCACACCTCATGCAGAATATTTCCGATTAAAAAAACACCCTAGGCATTAAATCTTTCCCTAGTGGATCATATTTAAGCTTCTGATTTTCTCCTGTAGAAATAGAGAATCTAATTCCAGATCAACCAGAATTAATTTACCCTAAAGTTTATCAATAAAGGCTGCCTTTCATACTTACTCTGAAAGCTAGCCACATTTATGCTTTTATATGATTAGGGCAGGAAAGATAATAAAACCACATGCCATTACCTGTTCTGCTTCTTCCTCCTCGGCTACGTTTTGACTATCTGAGCCAGCATGGGGGTGGGAAAGGTCACACACTGATCCCTCCTCCCCATCTCAGCCCACCTCAATTAATATTGATAAGCTTGCAGCAAGGGTGGTTCAGCGAATATCAATTTATTATTTCGCCAGGCAAGCTCCAAGTAATTGGGTGCTCCAGGGACAAAAGGGGAATATCCAACCTGGACAATGAAAACTTAAAAAGAAGATCAATATTCTGTTTTTCCTCCCTTTATTTTCTGAGCCTATTTGTATTAATGCTGTGGGCAAATATGTTTGAGGCAAATATGTTTGAGGCAAAAAGAAGGCTGCACATACCTAGGTTGAAGTAAAATCTTCCCTTTTGAGGAACTGTCTTGCACAGCTCAGCAATTTCCTGGAACTAACATTGATCAGAAATGTGGGATTTTTTTATTTTTTATTTTTGGTAGATGAGGAAGCTGGATTCCTCTTTATGCTAAGAGGAAGGATGCAAATACATTGTCACACCCAATGCTGTAGGAAGATGGCAGTACATGTGTGGCTATGTTTTACCTGCTTATCTAATCAGCGAAGCATTTATACAAAAGAAAAATAAATCAAGTAAGCTATAATTGATTAAAATGTAAATGACAGAATATATAGAGAATATCCATCTCTGATACAGGCGTTGCTTTTTTCTCCTGATTTCCCCTGCAATCCATGTCTCTTCCTTGAGCCCATCATATAGTGTCCCTATCACTTTCCAAATTTAAATATATTTTTTAAAAAAATGTTATTGTTGACCTTAATATTTATCATATGCTGCTTCTTTCTATCCTGGGCCTGCATATTTATGTTCTCATGTGGGAGAAAACATTTATTTATTTGAAAAACAAATAGCATCTCTAAAACTTTTCAATAACTAACTCACCCTTGGACTCAGTTTTAGGCATATAATCTAGCCAAGCTTTCTTGTCTGCTTTTTTAAATTTAGCCTTTGGTTTAGGAGCTCAGCACTGTGTACAGTGTACCCCCTCCTCCTATCCTTCCTCAGGGATGGATGTTAATGTCCTTCATAACCAGTTCACATAACCAGGTTTACTCCAAGGAAGCACCTAATCCAATTGGTGCACACCCTTGTAGTTTCTTGATGTGGTTACTTGTGTCAAATCCAGTCAGTTTGAAGCTGTGAACTCAGAAATGACATGAGATCTTTTACTTGAGGGCATGACGGTTGAAGTTACTCTATACCAAAAGGGCAGGTTTCTGATCAGGCTAAATCTCCTAACTATTTAATCAGATTTGAATAATACATGCCAAATCAATCTACATGATCATTAGGATAAATGATTGAAGTTTTATTTTGAATAGATCTGATGCTTACTAACAGCACCCGGAAGCATGGCATCTGACAATTCAACCATCTGGTTCTTGCTTGGGATATAAATACTACTACTATTACTATTACTACTACTACTACTGCTACTACTACTACTGTCTCCTTTTGCCCTTGAGGTTTTAAATAAAGGTTCAGGTAGGAATTAATAATAGAGATTTTGTTGTTGATCTGCTATAAATACATGTACATAAAAAATAATATATTCCAGACCATGCACAAAGAATTATTTTCTTAACTCATCTCCAACCACTTAGAAAATGAATGGTGAATGAGAATGGAATTCATCTTCAAGATCAGGCTGGAATTAGGATTGTTGGTTGTCTAATCACAGACTTTGGGATACAGTTCTCTACATAATGAAGTGGGAGAAGGCTCAGAATTGTGAGAGAAAGCTAGAAGGTTTGCAATTTTTCATCTTGGGGAAAAGATGACGATTGAAATGTATTTAATCATCCATGGCATGGAGATAGCAGATTGGGAAGAGTTTGTCTCTTTTTCTCAAAATATTACAACCAAGCATCATCCCATGAAATTTATTGGAGGGCAAAATCAGCACTGCTTCATGCAGCACATGAAAGTGATGGTCATTAATTTAGATGACCTTAAAAAAATATAAAAATTATGGAGGGCAGGTCTGTCCTGCTCTTGACTTAGGGTTCCTTCTGTGTGATGGGCATCATGCCTTTGAAATCTTGTGGTAAGGGAACAATGGCAAGGAAGATACGTCTGCATATGCACTTTTTGCATGTTATACAAATGTTGATCAGAATGGTTCTTGATGTATTCCTGCAGGACTATTTTATGTTGGATTGAATTTATAGCATTTCTGAATAGAAACATACAAGATGGGATTTATAGATTAAATCAAAACAATTTACTGTATAAACTTTAGCAACAGACAGTTTGACGAAGTAGTTAAGGAATCAAGCTATGCAGATATTTCAAATGTGTAAACTTTTCCAAAATGCTATCTTCCCCCCCAGGATGTGGTTATTATAATTATAATAAATAAATAATTATTAATTATATTATATATCAGTAAGTTTATTATCCATTTTGTATCTAATACAGCAGGATCAGGGAACTTTCAACTTTTGTACTTTGCTATTGTCTTTAAAGCATTTCCTTAATTCCACAAATGCATCCTTTGAGAATTGTATTTTCATGTATTTAGCAATTTGTATTAAATATGAGAAGGTAGATGATAAACAGTAAACTCTCTTTTGGTTTGGGATGGAGGAGATAGTTTCCACTGGTCCTTATTTTTGTAATGAACTGCTTTCTTATCACCCTTTGACCCTCTGAACTAGTTTCTATATTTAGCCATGTGACTTTTGGAAAGTATTTTGAAAATCAGTCACCAAATGGCTGGATAAAATTTCTTATCCTGGCAAACATCTTTTTAATTTATGCACTTCAGGTTCCATGATTCCATCTAAACAAAGTAATGTACAAAAACATGAATAAATACATATTTTCTTCCTAAATACATAAATGCCTTAACTGCCAAGCTTTCTCATATTACACACAGTTAGTGTGTAATAAATGGCCTTAAATTCCCAGTCAATGGTGCAGCATTGGTATATAATATAGTATATTATGCACACATTATTAATCATATGAGTGCACTGAAAATCAGTAGAGAAAAGTGTCAGCTTGCGGAAACAGGAATAGGCAGGCATTTTGCAAGACTGGGCATACTATACTTGGATTGCAGAAATCCATATGACCATTAGATGACAGCAAAGAGCGGGATAAATTTTCAGTCTAGATATGGTATGTCTAGAAAAAAGTAATCATCAAGTTATTGAGGAGAGTAGTGATCTGAAGATGCAACGTATTTTAAGTCTAGGCTAATATATAGATCCTGAAGTTGAAACTCAAGTATTTTGGCCACCTAATGAGAAAGAAGGACTCACTGGAGAAGAGCCTAATGCTGTGAAAGATTGAGGGCGATAGAAGAAGGGGACGACAGAGAATGAGGTGGCTGGATGGAGTCACCAAAGCAGTAGGCGTGAACTTAAATGGACTCCAGAAGATGGTAAAGGACAGGAAGGTCTGGAGGAACGTTGTCCATGGGGTTGCAATGGGTCGGACATGACTTCGCAACTAACAACAATATATTTTGACCCATTCAGTTAAAAAACAGAATTACAAACCTGCAATACAGTTTTTTTTAAAAAATAGTACTGCCATTTCAGTGATCCTATTTTTGTGTTCTATTTTCTTGACTGTATTTGTTCCATAATATTTGCAACCTTTAGTGTAATCGGAAGCAGGTGAAAAATAAGGAAGTATTCTTTTTATAAGTGTTATAGATGGTATGTGTAAAAGTGACAAAGAATTACAATGAAGTTTTTCTTTAGGGAAAAAGTAGGAGACTGGCCTTTGAAACCAAACAATGAGGCCTTACGTAAAGCAAGCATGTTGCTTTATCAAAGCAATCACTTTAAGTCAATAAGCTCATGGAAATGGTTTACATTTATACTAGTGTTACTTTAGAGCAACGCACATTCAAACTACGGTTGCACATATTATAATCTTAGTAAATGAAAGCTTGAGAGTTTAGAATTCAGAATAAGTTAATACAGGAATTATATCCCTCAATTCCTATGGCAAATAAAAGGTCTTTATATCTGCTGGATACAGCTGAGTATTAGAAATGTCAGATCGTTTCAGATTTTTGCATGAAGCCTAAGAAAACAGAACAAGGTGATTATCTTGCTAGAAACGCTCTTATTCCCTGTGTCATTTGTTCTGCTTTATTGCCAGGATAAATATCTCAACTTGGAAACAGAAATAAGTTCCCAGCCACGAAGACAATGAATCACGAGTCTGTCGAAGAGGGAGCACGTGGCTCCTGTTGCTCCATGTTGCTGACCTCTGTCCTTCGGTTCCTGGGCTTGCCATTGGCAAGCTGGATTTGCTGGAGTTAAAACTGTAGCGCCTTTGTCTTGTTGCAGAAGCCCTAATGCAGATGGCTGTTTATCTCTGCCAGTCCTCTTCAAGACATATCAAAGGCCACCCCACCCTCAGCTCATCCAGCCTATCCGAGATGGACTTTTTAAAGGCTGTATAAAGAGGAATGTGATTAGACCACATACTTACTGTATTTTAATTTTAGCTACCAGTGGCCATGAAACCCATTTGCAGCTTAAAAGAATAAAACAATTAAATGTTTTAGACAGAAGCAGAGTAAGACATGCTAGGTTAAAAAACAACAACACCATAGTTACAGTTTTGTGGGATTAATGGACAATTTTAAATTAGAATTATAGGGTATGAATAGCTATTTAGTCTCTCATTTTATTTTCTTTAGTTAAAATGATTCCAGAACAGCTTTGTTAATTAAATAACAAATCTTCCTAACAGCTAATCAAATAGTATTATTTTCTAGAGCTTGAACTTTCTCATCTCTTATTCCTAAAATTTAAGATCATTTTAGGTAAGGAATAGCTTACTAATGACACCATAGCTAAGTGAGTTGCATCCAATTTTATGATTTTTTTTTTTTTTGCTGCTGTTAAGTGAATTACGCAATTGTTTGCATTTTCGAAGCCCCTGAGAAAGTTGCAAATGGTGATTATGTGACCTCAGGGTGCTGCATCAATACGTGCCAATTGCCAAGCATCCAAATTCTGATCACATGACTGTGGGGTTGTTGTGATGGTTAAAAGTGCAAGAACTGGTTGTAAGTCAGCATTTTTCAGCATTGTTATAATTTTGAACGGTTGTTGAACAAATGGTTGCAAGTGGAGGGCTACTTGTAGTTTCTTTGGCAACAATGCAAAATGGTTTAGCATTACTTCTTCTGGAAGTATTGCATACATAGATACATACATAGATACATATATATATACATACATACAGTATATCTCCCAATGTTGCCCACAGCCTTGGAATTTCCTAGTAGTAAGGATTAATTAGGTCTGATACACTTAGCTTTTCTGAAATCAGTTTATACATTTTCATGCAAACCTTTAATATTAATAATTTGTTTAATGAGTGTATTCACTTAAGGTATTATTTGGGCAACCACTCCCTGGTCAACGTACATGAAACATACCAATTTTTCTATGACATGTAGGATTCTAGAGAACTGAATATTTCAGAACATATCCAAGTCAATTTATCCTCAGTTAGGTACACACACAAACATTAATAGTTGGTGGATAGTGAAACTGTAATGTAGAAAAAACCCACCTGAAATAGAGGAAGTACATCCAATGTTAATAGCTAAATTAACTGTTGCCAGAAAACTGTTATTTTGATTGCAACAAACAGCAAGCAAATTCTATTGAAATTCTATTGAAACTATGTGTCAGAAGATCGTGTGCTGAGTGGAAGTGAAAAAGCATCCTATGTCAGAAAGTCCATGCTATCAGGCTCTGAAAAGTGCTAAAGCATGTGACAATTTTGCAGTTTTATTCTACCAAGCAAAGGGAGAGCTTTGCAAAGCCTATGAACACGTTACTATCCTCAAAGCATTAAAGCTGCTGTGTCTTTTGAAGGCTTAAAGCAGGCTGTTCTCGACTATCTGCGCCTGCCCACAAAGCTGCCCTTTGTGGCAGAATGTGCTGTCTGTGCAGAGATGTGTATTCAGCTGGGAACAGCCTTTGAAACAGCTCTGTCAGCTTCTAAAGGATGTGGCTGTTCTAGTTCTTAGACTTCTGCTTGTGCTTTTGAATGCACAGCAGTAATTAAGTTATACATGGCCAAAGTGCCTCAGCAGAAAGGAAGTACATAAACTCAGCAAGCAGATTAAGTAAAGATTCTCCTGGCTCGTTAGAGATATTTGACTTATATCGGACTATAACTTATTCATTCAGTAAAGATCTGTAGATGAGCGGTAGACACACAAATTAATCAAGTGCCTATACATCAGAATTGTTAACATTGTCACAAACCCTCAGCATATAGATTTAATAAACAAACAAATAAATACCCTATGGATTTCAATTATATATACACTTTCAAGTAAATGAGCTGAAAAATAAACCATCTTGCACTTTCTTTTCTTACTGTACATCTCTGCTGAATCAAGTCATGAACTCATGTTGTTTTTAACCTGCACTGTTTGATGACACTAAAACATAATTTATCAATACAATGCCAGTTTCAAAGTTGTAATTAGTATGCAAATTGTTTTTAAAGATTTACTTAAAATTGAAAAAAAATTAAAAAGCTTATATTGTATTGAATGCTCACAAGTTTTATTTTAACATCAAAGCAACGGCATTGTAATTTATTATACACCTTTCACTAAACAATAAAAAATTAACAGAAAAATTGGCCAGAATGGTTAGGATTAATCCTAGTGGAGGAAATCTTCTGCTGTCTGATCACACAGAACTTTTGTTTTGTTTATTATGACAGCAGCTTTCTAGAATTCAGACAGTATTATTTTTGAGTCCTTGTTAGAAATGTCAGGAAAACTCTTTTCATCAAGTTTTACTGTGATGTCACAAGGCTTTGAGGGGGATATAAGCTGTAATCAAGTGGTCATTTTTTAGCTGACATAAAACAGCAAGAGAATAGTGTGGCTTTGTGTTACAAATAGTTTTATTTAAGACAGAGGTCCCCAATCTTTTGGGCACCAAGGACCAGTTCCGTGAAGAAAGTTTTTTCCATGGACCAGAGAGTGCATGGTTTTGTGTACTGCCTGCATCCCAGGGATGGGGCTTTGCTTGTTTGTACGGACCGGCTGTTGGCATGCTGCAGCCTGGTACCAGTCCACGGACCGGGGGTTGGGGACCCCTGATTTAAGATGCTCCTGACTTCATTATAAATCACTCCAGATGCTTCTGGATGGCAAAGCAGCATAGAAATAAATGAAAACTGCCAAGTCAACCCCTACCACACCAATTGCTAGTAAACTGGATTGGAAAAGGCTCTACTGCGAAAAGTGGAAGACCACCAGCAGCAAAGTCGGTGGACTTGGTTACAATGGTGATGAGTGCACCCTTAGAAGATCAGATTAGGGACAGATTCTCATGGACAAAAATCTAGGTGGTCACTTAGGAGCCCACACCAACTTGACATAATCACAATACAAAAAGATGACGGTGTTTTTTTTTTTTTACTTCAACAACTATACATAGGGGATGGGGAAGAACTTGTTTTTTCCTACTCTTCTAAAGTCAGTTGCACCTCAGAAATTCACTAGCTGACACTTTCCTCATCATTGCAACCAACCAAGACCATCAATTCTCCCCCCTCCCCCTCCCCCCGAGATATCAACCAAGGGCGGCCAACGCAGGAAAGGCTCCTAAAAGCTCAGCCCCGCTCTCGGAGCCTCCACCTCCCTTGACCACACCTACCCTCCCTCCGCCCGAGCCATAATTGACATACATGGCTTCCCTAAGCCCGCCTCTCCCTTTATGATTCCTTCACTGGGTGGGTAACGTCACTTCCTATCCAAAGGGGCGGGAAAGAAGGGCTTCGTGAGCACTTCGGCGTTCCCTGCCAATCAGGCTCACGTCACTTCCTTCTCCAGGCTGCTGCTGCTGCTATTTTGCTACTACAGTTGACGAGTCCGTCAGCGGAGAAGCTCGCGCTACGGGAAACGAGGATTTCTCGGTCGCGCGCCAGGGACCGTGCATTTATTTGGCCTCCAGGGGCGGGGCCGGGACCGGGACGGCAGCTTCACGCTTGTTACCCTCGGCTGACGCCGCTCGAGGACCAGCCCTGAAGAGCCGAGCGGGACCTAGTCAAGCCGGGCCCTCGAAAGGAAAAAGCCGGAGAAACCTGCTGCTGAAACTGAGGGCCGAGGGGAAAGTCACCCGGCAACGGTGAGGGAATTGAGGCACGCATGCGCGCCACAGCAGCGGCGGTGGTGGTGATGGGGGGGCGGAGGCGGAGGGAGCTGAAACGATAAGGACAGAATAGGAAAAGGGATGCGGGGAAGGGGCGGTTGCGCTCCGTGGCTCTTCGGAGGATCGCTGCTCAACGGGGTGATGGGATCGGAAAGCCCCGTTCGGCAGGCAGCCTTTCCCCGTGGAAGGGGTGGGACTCTGCTGTGGGATCGCTATTGTGATTTAGAGACTTTTGTAAAAGTTGTAGCGATAACTATTTAGATCTTAACCATGAGAGGAACGGCATTACTTTGCAAGATCAGCCCTGTTATTGCTTCCTGTTGCCATGGGCGGGCTAGAAACATTTGAGGACATCTGTGGTTAACAGAAAGCAAATAACAACAGTGGTCGAGAATGTGATTCTTGGCTGGCATTCCAGTTATGTACTTGCTGATTGTGGAAATAGGATAGAGGTTAACTCCATCACCCGCCTTTTGTCTCTGGAACTAGGATCCTGGGGTTGGGAATAATGGTATTTCCCACATCGCAAACATTTATAACCATGTCTCATCCGACTCCTACAGATTAACCTCTGTAATTCAGGATCAGGTGTCATAAACAGAGAGCAGGTGCAGCACAGAAAAAAAAATCCTCTCAGGACAAAATAGAACTGTATGACTAATTGAAGTCAAGTTGAATGTTACATCAGCACTGCTGGAAGACAATATAATTTGTAAGGATCAGTTAAATCCAACGTAGATAATTTTTTAATGATTCTTGATCTAAGACAACTTATCAAGCATTCATTAAGAAGGACTGCAATAGCATTCATGTTTTTCTACTACTGATCATTATCTGCAGAAAAGTGTTATGGCATGTTCTAGGTATCTTGGTTTGAATATAATAGAAGCTTTCATAAGTTTCTGTGATGATCCGATTCCTAGGCAAATGCACAAAAATTATTTACAATCTGATTTGAAGCTGGTTTCCCAAGATTGTGAAATTTATATCTATCCAAGGAAACTTATCCTGAGTTCTTAATTTATTCTTTACTGAACAGTGATAATTTGGTCTGATAACTATCATATTATCATTGAGTTTGGTTCTCTTTTATTCAGATGTTTAAAACAATGACATTATTCAGGAAGGTGTATAGAAATGAGAGGTCTATATTCTTTGTCCCTGTGAAGGAAACATATCAGAAAATACAGGGGTATGGGATGTAAGATGTCATGAGATTTACTGACAGTAATGGAGATGTACAGCAGCATAGCACATGGTGTTTGTACTTTCTCAGCCTCAAACAGAAAATAGAAATACAATAGCCATTGCTGTTTTCATTATATAATTCTGCTTTTTCATCCCAAATATTAAGAACAAAACTCAGGAATACAGTACTAGGAGCAATGGAAACAGAGGCTGTTACTGCAGCTATTTTAAGTAACACTGTTTCTTAAATTTCTCTGAATTAAACCTTAAACATTTCTTTTAAATGAACAATCCTGATATCAATGTGAACAATATTGGGCTTGCTCCCAAGTGCATGTTCATGGATGTTTAAAAATGCAAGAATGCCATCTGCCCTTGAAATGTTTCCTGCAGTAGCCACTGGCATAACACCATGTACCTGCTGCAGTCTTGTCTGCCACATAAAGTGGGAACTGCATGTATTTACCCAAAATTCTACAAGACATTCTTTTCTTTTTTGCTGGATGGGTATTTTATCCTGTGTGTAACATCTGAACTCAAGCTTTCTATTATAGTGTGACACTTTATTATTACTAATTATTGAGAAATTTTTAAATGGGTTATAAAAATAAATTAGATAGGCTTAATATTGTGAGCTATGTTATTTTTTCCTTAAAAATAAATTGACTTAAAATGAAAAAGTAACACAAGCATACTTTTAAGAAGTAATATGAAAACTCCCTAGAAAAATATAGCATGGGGCAATACTTTAGGATGAAAGGAAGATGCTTCAAAAGCCAGTTAGTTCAGAATTGTTAATAGAGTCAAGTAAATAATGCAGTTGGCAAGAAATACATATTTTTGGATTGCTTTTGGCTTACATTAAAAAGCATGTGGGTGATGGAATTTGTATTAGCAGTTTCCTACTGGCTCCATCTTCATCTGTGTGTTTTGCAAAATTTGTTTAAAAGCAGACTGTTTCAAATACTGTTCAACATTTTAAAAAAACAATAACAAATTATGTTGTTGCCACAATTATGGCAGCTCTGCTATGTATATTGATTGTACCTAGTATGAAGTGTAAACATTACATAACATTGATTATTCCTTTGTTACACTTCTCTTAAAATAGACATTATATTCCTTTTTTAAAGGTAGGAGTTGATAATAATCATTCAGAAGCAAAATAATGTAATTCAAAGTAGAATATTGTAAGAGTCATTCGAGTAAATGCCATCAAATTCAGTAGAGTTTATTTTGAGGTAGACGTATAGAATTACACTGCAAAATTAGTAAAAATTGTGGGGAAGCCAACAATATCAGGTATCTCAGGTTACTATGAGTTATGTAAGATGTACTGACTAATGTTCCTGAATTATGTTCTTTCTGGTAGTTATTTGTTTTAAGAACTGGGCAATGTCTTCAACTATATTGCAGTATGTTTTGTAATATACATAGGGAATAAAATCTGTTTTGTATTTTTTAAAGCTATCAAACAAAATAGATTAATAGTGGCAAGATATGGCATGTTTTTCTAAAAAGTTATTTACTTATTAAATTTATATGCCACCTATCTTACTGATAAGGCAACTCTGGGTGGCTTACAAATAAAATTTATCTGAAAACAGAGTTATTGAGCATTATATTGTATTAAAATGTAAATGTGCTTGTTTTCTTAGGGGAGACAGTGACATTATTGTTCTAGTGTACTTACATTCATCTTTAGTGATTCTTAATATGTTTGGTTCATATTCTTTGGTATTTGGTTAAAGGAAGAGGGACTGATTGTTCCTTTATAACAGCAGATGGGGGCCCAAATAGTGCTGGGCAGCTGCCTTGCCCCATTCCTTCAATAAACTTGGTTGCTTGGACAAGGCCCCAATATTCTACTACCTCGTAGTAGAATAGCAATGCTGAAGGAAGGATGGAGCACGTGAGAAAAGAGCTGCTATTCTGCTACAGATTGCCTGGAAGCACAACCAGAATAGATGATCCTTGTGGTGGAAACAGAGCTCATGGAAGCCCTCCTGACTTTCCCAGTAGTTCCTGCTCACTGATCTCTTGCTCTTCTCCTGAGACCTTGCATGGTTGAGGCCTGTTACTTTAATGGCAGTAGAGAAGTAGTGGCTCTCCCTCTCTTCTTCCTGCCTCAATTGCTACATAGTGGGAAGGGTATTTGATGCCTGGGCTGGAATCCTCAATGTCTGGGGGGGGGGGAGCAGAGAATATTGCTTAGCTTCTGCAATAGCTTAAAATCATGTCCAGTAACTTGCTTCATGTTCTTTGAAATTCTGTAAAGTGTCTCCTTTGTCATCTTCAGTTTTAGAAGAGATCATTCTTGACAACAAAAATCTCTAATTTATTACTTTCTTGAAGAATTTTTATCAGGAAATATGCTGAAACAAATAATGCAGATGAATTTCCTTTATGAAAAGAATATATTGTGAAGCATCACATTGAATTCAAAGTAATGATGCATCTGAGGTGTCCAGTAATTCCTTAGATGCAGCTTCTTTAAGGAGGAGCCTCTGGCCGGTACAGTGAACTCTGCTTCAGATCTGAATATTGTGTATCCGTGCAGATGGATATGTTGTAATTAGTGATAAGCATGCTAGAATAAGAGTTACAGTGAAATGGTTAAATGGTATATTTAAAAATTATTTGTAGAAGAAGATAAGGAAGATAATTAAAAACACAACCTATTTCAAGTGTGTTTTTTATTAGTCTTATATTACAAAGTTCTTAAGGCTGGGAAACATCTAAATTGTTTGTTGGCTATGGAGGGTGAGAAGAACCTAGAATACAAGGGAATCTGGCAGAGAGGAGTGGGTAGTTCTGTGAGAAGTAAAAAACCTTTTGAAATTATAGCAAATAACAATGTTTAGATGAGGCAAGTAACTTCTTATAGAGGAGATTTTAAATCAAATGGAATGGTGTAATACAAAAAGTCTTAATACTATTATGGAAATTATTAAAAACCTTACACACATATATACTTACGCAGTCCCTTTTAGATTAAACATTGTAATGCAAAATACAGAAAAGAAGAAATAGCAAGCATAAGATCTTAAAGACAGGAGAAAAGAAAAGGAATTATTGCTATAAAAGCTGTGAGTGAGAATTGAAATGTAGCAGTCTATTTCATGTGTATGTACAGTGGCATGTTTAAGAGGGCCAGTGTGATTTGGCAATTAAGTCACCCAGCTAGAAACCAGGAAACTATGAGTTCTAATCTCGCCTTAAGCATGAAAATCAGCTGAGTGACTTTGAGCCAGTGATACTCTCCCAATCCAACTCACTTCATAGGATTGTTGTTGCTGGGGGAAATAGCAGGAAGAAGTAATGCTAAGGTTTGTTTGCTGCTTTAAGTGATTTATAAAAATAAATAAAAGATGCATTTAAAAAGATAGCTAAATCAACTTTATATGCATACCATTCACTATGCCTCCTCATATACTTCAGAATAGGGATCAGAGTTTTTCCTTGAAATATTATTCCCCATATCAGTTTTGTCTATTTACTTTTTTTCTTGTTTTCCTATTTCTTTGTACTTTACATCAGAAATGTACAACGTGAGGGCTTAACATAGCCTCTGAAAATGTTGAGTAAAGCCTACTGTGACCTTTCAGCTATTGCATGATCATTTTTCATGATAGAAGAGGAAACTTTATTACAGATAGGCCTTGATTTACAACTACAATTATGTCCAGAATTTTGGTTGCAAGTTGTGGCTGTTAAGCAGATTATCATATATCCTGATTCATTTTACTGTTTTTGTATAAAGCAAGTCACTGCTACCATTAAGAAAA